TTATTCCGTCAGTTGGTAATTTTTCGACACCTGGCTTTTAGCGTTCCGTTATAATTGCAAGCGCGTCAGACTGATACAGTAAGCAAAGTGCGCTGAGCCGTCGACTTCACACTCATTCCTACCTCCAACATCAGGCCAACGTCTGAGCGGGTCAGTTATCTTATGCGGGGTGGGTGTGGTGGCTGACTGGGCTAGCGAATCCCGCTGCACGCGCCGCAGCACAACTTGGCTCCGTTGCCGCACACACATTAGAATTTACACAACCAGGGGATTAGAAGGAGCCATCGCCGTTTGACTTCCAGTCCATGGATCAGCTACTAAACACACAACACCCTGACCTGATAGCGTGGTCTTCTACAGCGTCAATTAGTAATGCTAAAAGCTAAGCTGAATGTAATAGTTAAAATGTAGACTACAGTTGTGCTTGGAGCTGAAGGGCTCTCTGTGAAGAGGAGTCGAGAATAAAGCTTACCGTTCAGCAGGAGGTACTTTTCGAGCACACGGTATGTGATGTCTGTGTTCGACCATCGGTTTCGATGAAGTCCACCAAGTGCACTAACATGTTGGTACAGAAGGTGAGGGTCTCGGGGGTAGCTTTAAAGTGATAGCGGATATGGTTTGTGCCAACCGCACTCTTCACCTTCACCCGGAGTCTCGAAGACTAAACGGGTTCCGGCGAAGGCTGCTTTCTCCAATGTAAGCCGAAACACTGCCTAACTTAGTCTTAAGTGACAGTAGCCTTTTGCGCTGGTACTACTGTAATATCTACCCTCACTCACCCTCAGTATGTGTGAAGACAGGCCCAAGGATATTGAGACTGATACGATTACTACTGTTTTTAATAATACTGACTATCAATGTAGCCGAGTCTTAGTAGTACAAATACTATTTCTGAAGCTAAAACTTGTCAAACGTAACGCTGGGGCTCGTACCTTCCTTGTTCTCATCAAGGAGTGGGAAGTCTGGATTTATGCTATTTCGAGTAACTACCTGTTTGAGCCCCTCGGCACATCAGAGCTTGCCTTGGTTTCCGCCCTCTCAACTCTATCCTCCCGGGCTGTGTCCGTTTCAAATAGGAGCTGGACTACGAAGACTAGAATACTGCTGCTAGAAGTACTTGCCTATGCCAAAGTGCTAATTCTGGTAATCATATTTACTAAGACCAGTAACTAGTATATTATGATATAGCGTGTGTTTGCCTGTAGGAAACCGGCACCCAGCATGCACTCACAATCTGTATGGGGTAAAGTAGATTAATAGTTTATGAGTTAAAGCAAAGCGTTATTAACTAGTAGCACAAGTTCTGCCATACTTTTACGTCTCACGTAGTGCCTTTTGCTGTGTATAGGCTGTCTGAGCGCCCACTACAACACCTAGCTTGCGATAGGCTGAGCATAATCGTAGAATATCGTCCTCATATACTGCTATTAACTGGCAATTTAGCAGAATGCTAGTAATTGTTGTAACTGTATCTGTGGAATATATAAGTCAGAGTTGATGCTGATTTGAGTCAGCGCTGAGGCTCGTGTCGATCTGGATTTATGCTATTCCGAGTAATACATGTTCGTGACCGGAGCACGTCATAGCTGCCCTTGTCTTTCGCGTCTTCATCTCTATCCACCAAAGCTGTATCAGAGTTTAGCAAGTTTCGGACTACGAGTACTAGAAACTGCTGTCAGATGTATTATGTGACAGTGAAGGTAGGAGAGGAATAACATACGCTCATGCACACAATCGATGTGGACTTTCAGGGATACCTTCTGCGAAAAACATTTTTTAAAAAAACTGGCAGATCCACGTTCGCATTTTGAAGTGAACATGGTCATATGAGAATCACAGAAGAACAACGCTGACTGACCGGAAAATGAAATTGACAATTCTGATTGGTTAATGGCATTCAGAAAACCAAATCGACGTAGTTGTAGCTAATGGGAACACGAAGTAATAGTTCGATCAATAGCACTAATTATGCACGCAATGGGTGCTCATCACAGGGACATGCTTCGCACGCTTCCCGAAAAAATCGTACCTTGGTCAAGGAAAACAGGTTAAATTTATGTAAGCAAACCATCCAATAGAATTTCGCGGATTTTTTTTAAAGTGAACAGTCAGAACTATTGTTTAATTGTTCCCCTTTTGTACCCCAGACCAGCGGACGCCAAGATCTCGAAACAATGCGCTATGTACGCAATTTCAACAAATTCAAATAAAAATACCCGAGATTGGAAAGCCGGGCTGCTACCCGGAATTTAATTCACATGAATTTGCCCTGCGGATAATAAGTATTTAGCATTTGGGCAAAACTCACATACAATTACATAGCGAAAATACAGTTCATTATTAAGATGACTGTTTGTGGAATGTCATTGAACTACGTTATTTAGAAGGCCGCGTCACACTGCAATTCCATTTTAATGCCTTAGAGTCCTAGCACCAAACGGCAACTCTTTTCTGCGCCGCCAACTTATAGTAGGGTTTGCCGAAGACAATGCTCAATCTTAAAGACACTACGGACAAATCAATTAATAAAAGCGTAAAGCAATAGGTTCTAAAGCACAAAGATGCTACCTTAAAGCATAAGAAACAAACTTTAAGTACAAATAAAAAAGAGGAGTTAAGAGCATGCTGGTAAGCAGCTCAACTGGACTTGCGGTCTGGCCCTGGGGAGTAAGACACTATCTCGGAGACGAGCTGGCTGGACGATGAGCCGACGGCCGCCGAGGAAATGACAGGCCTCAAGAACGCCATCCTCCAGAGTGTTTGTGTCAGTTAAAAGGACGAACCCGAAGCCTCGGGATTCACCCGTGGCCTTTTTGAGCTTAATCTTGACCCTCTTAACTGTGCTAAATTTGGAGAAGTAAGCAAAAAATCATTTTTCCTTATCTCCGGGTTCAACCGACCGACAAATATGTTTCCCTTGTTGGTGACTAGGTTTGCGTCATCTTGGTCTTGTTCTATTGCGGCAGTCTGGGGTGTGAAAGCCTCCCTCAAACCGCGGCGTGCAGGTTGAACTTACAGTTGCAAGGTATGTGATGCTATCGTGACCCCGTGTGGTGTAGGTGCTGGTGAGGAGTGATATAATGTTGTGGCGTCGCCGGCTGCATTCTATCGTAGGTTTTCCTGCGGGTGCGT